TGTCCCAAAATTATCTCTTAGCGCCCATCCAAGAATGCCCCTCCGCTTTCCTCGTCATGGATGTGAAACTGGCGGGGCCCTGGACGGGGGGCGTGGGGAAGAGCGGTGAATGCCCGGGAAGCGAGACCCAGCTGTCGGCGCGGGGGGGGGGGGGGAGCGAAGGGGGCAAGGAAGGGTCGCGCGCCGTGATTAGGATCGGGGCACGCGGGCAGGGGACGGAGGAGGAAAAATGGTGGCTCAGAAATAATAAAAGAATGATGCTCTGTGGAAAGCATGGAAGCCGGGGAGGGGTAGGAGGATTTTTTGGGGGGGGGACCCTGATATGTGAAATTTTGCCTGCCTTTCCCATCGGAATGCCCTCCAGATATGGAGGAATGCAACGCCCATCAGCTAGGATGCCGGTGGAAACCCAGCGGTCTGGAAGGGCTTAGGGATGGGCAAATGGGAGCCGTGAACTGCTTGGGTGGATTAAAGAGTTCGTCTTCAAGCAGGACATAAATTAGTCTTGGGTTAAGCAGAACATTCCCGCACTCGTCCACAGGCATCAGAGCTCTCTTGTTTGGCTTCCTAACCCAGATGCCGTACCCCAAGTCACCTTCCCCGGGTCACCTCCCTGGGAAGCCATGCTGTTTGCTAGAAATGGTGAAGTGGCTTGATTAGTCTTTCCCTAGCTGTCTTCATTTAACAGACCAAAGGTTCTTTCTCTTTTCAGCCATGATTGTACGCTTCCTCACCAAAAGGTTTATTGGAGACTATGAACCCAACACTGGTGAGTTTTCTTCTTAAGAATTTTCCCTTCACACAAGCCAGCTGTGAGGTTTGCATGAGGGCAGCATCTACAAAGGAATCTGCTTTGACCCCTTCCGTTAGGGGCTGTGAGAGTCATTCTAGGGAAACCTGGGAGTGTAGGTGTTTTTCCACCTAGCCCTCCTAGAAAGGAGAAGGAAGAAGAAACAAGGCCCAGAAATCTATCTGTTACCAGCTAGCTAAAGCTTCAGAATCCCATTCTGAAGCTTAGCCTTACCATTACACTGCACTGATCTTTCTGTCCAAATTGGGAGGCGACTTTCTGGTGGCTGGGGGCTGCACTTAATGTTTTGAGGGTTGGTCAAGAGCCATAGCAGGTAGAACAGTGATACTAGGATTTTCCTTCCCTTCCCCAAGATTTGGGTGGAATCTGGGAAATTTTCTTGTTCATATCTTTAATTAGTTAACCCTCTTCTAAGGTTTACACCAGTTTTCAGATGTTCCACATCTCAAAACGGGGAGCAATTAAACCAATACAATTGTTGGCAAGCTTAGTCATAGGTGGGTTTGAGGGCCTCAATCAGCATTGAGTTGCTGGGCTTCCCACCTCTGGGGTGTGGTATGCCAACATGAAGGAGACTAGCAGTTGTCCTGTTTCTCTGGTTATCTCCTACTACCAACATAAGCGCCAGTTTACCATTCCCTTTCATGTTCATTTTTCCAGGGAATCTCTATTCAAGACTTGTTCATATAGATGGTGATCAAATTTTCCTGCGGATCCAAGATACACCAGGATATATTGAGGTACAAAATAATCCTAAAATACATTGGTTCTGATGACCAAATGGGATTTGCTATCTCTGTGCTGCAGAAGCACAGTGTGCTGTAGTCAAGCTATTGTAGCATAGTATTTGCACATTTGTTTATTGAATTTGCTCATTGCTGCAAATTACTTCCATAAAGGAAAAAACAAATATAGGAAGAAACTGATTAGGCTTTTATTATGCAATCATCCTGCCTCATTTATTCAGTATTTCCTGCTGCTTAAAGCAGCATTACACTGTTAAAGCAATATTTCCTACTGCTTTAACAAACAACTAGGGAGTCAAGTAGCTTTTGTCAGTTAGTTCTCAGAACTTTCAGTCTGAAGTATCCCATAAATTGGGATTTCCAGTCAACTCAGGATATAATTTGCAAACAAACATCCTAGGCATGTTAGAAAGAAATCCCACAGTGATTAAAGTACCATATCCCAGGTCAACCTTCCTAGGACTGCAGACCCTGGAATATCTTACCTCTTCTCAGGCCATTTAAAATGTGTGGCTTAATATGTACGAAGCTCCTGTGCTCTCTGCAAGAAATGCTTGCATTTTGTTGGAGCATAAATAGGAATTATAGTTATACATAGTTTTAGTTAGTGCTGGAAGCATCTGGTGTAGAAGAAATGCACTTGACCTTTTAATGATTCATTTGGGATTAAGTGTGAGCACTCACAAGAGCATTATTTCTTTTGATGCTTCAAGGCTGTTGCACCCAGTAATCCAAAGTAGATAAAGAATATGGTACTTCTGGATTGTATTAGGATGGTCAGGGTTGAAAGCTGAATAGCTCAACTGTGAGACAAGCTTCTTTATTGAAACTATGGTTGCAATTGAAACCCTTTCTGTTCTTTATAAATGCTTGTAAATAACCCATTTCTTCCTTTCAGGTCCAAGAAGACTTACCACAGATGCTGGATTCGCTTTCTGGTTGTCTCAAGTGGGCAGATGGTTTTCTTTTAGTCTATTCAATTACAGACCATCATAGCTACCAGTTCATTCGGCCGCTTTTTCAACACATCCAGAAGATTCGCCCTGACTCTAAAATCCCAGTCATCATTGTAGGGAACAAAGGGGATTTGATGCATTCCCGACAGGTTGCAGCAAATGATGGCCTACAGTTGGCCAATGAACTGGGTGCTGTGTTCCTAGAAGTCTCGACGAGTGATAATTATCAAGGTGTATGTGATGTCTTTCAATACCTGTGTAAAGAAGTTAGCAAACAGCACAGTTGTGGCAGTCGAGACAAAAGGAGATCATCCATCATTCCACGTCCCAAATCACCAAACGTGCAAGACCTCAAGAGACGTTTCAAACAGGCTCTTTCATCCAAAGTGAAATAGACTTGAAATGGCCTTTTGATCAAAACTGTTTTATTAATTACACGTTTATAAGAAGATTTTATTTTTGTACTGATGCTGTTGATGTCTATCTAGATGAAAATACACAACTTCCTTGGAATTACTTTCATATGAATTTTTCCTCCTCCCCCACCTTCTATACTGAATTGCAACAAAATAAAATTTTAAAAAAAAGATTGAACTCAAAGCTTTATTTCTGTTCCATAGAGATTTTATGTTTAAATAAGGGAAGAAAACTATTTATTTACTAAATTTATATCCCAGCTTTTCTCTAGGAGCTCAAGGCAGCTTACATGGGGCTCTCTCTTTCAATAGTAACCAAATTAGGTCACTCAGTGAGTTTCCATAGTTGACTGATTAGAACGTGGGTCTTCCTCTTTCTTCAATGCTTTAACTGCTCCAATTAAACTTGTGTCAAATTTTGATAATCCCAAAATGTAGGATTTAGTATTTCAGTTTCACTGGATAGCCAGTAGGATTTATTTCTCTCTCTCATCCTATTCAAAAATACGTTTATAACTCATTTATTTTGACTGATTATACTTTAACTAAGATGCTTCCTCCCTATGTAGAAAGAAATGGCAACATGACTTGTTTTGCCAAATGTTCTAATGGGACCTCTGAATGTAACCCCTAGCTGTCCTTGGGTAATTGTGAAAAAGCTAAGCAAGATTGCAAGATTGCACTTGGACAGAAAAAACCAGGATAACCCAGGGCTGTCTATGAATCTGGGGAGTTGAAAAAGACTTCCTGAAAAAAGGCACTGGCACATCACTTCCATCTCATAATGATTATATTACTGAAATGCTAAAATATGAAATGCTTCCAGAAACTTTAGCATATTGTATCAGAGTTGGGCTCGTAGTTGTCCAACAGCCACCCCCAATGGTAAACTCAACCTTTTGAAAACAAATCTTTCAAAAACAATTCATTCCTGCTTTTTTCCTGTTTCACATCTGTCATAGTGTTTCTTGTCTTGTAGGTTTGGCTAAATGACACCTTGAAGTGCCTTCCAGCCTCACAAATGAGAGCATTTGCTCTGAAAGGGTAAAAAGTCTAGAACTGTGTGGGCCTGAAGTAAAGATTTTAGATACTCGATTAAGATTGCAGTTCATGAGTGCACTTAGCGGAGGCAGAGGCTGATGGACTTCCAAGATAAAATACACAGGAATCAAGTTCTTAGTCACGGATCCGTGATGCATATTCTACAGCTGATTCAATGAGCTATATTCTGTGTCTCTGCTTCATTTACAAGGCTTGTTGTAGTAGTCCTTTTTAACAACCGTAATTAGGACTGACAGCTCTGTTGTTGTGAAGCAATCACTAAGTGGGAAATCACAT